TGAATCCTACCTAATAAATTTACCTGTGAAAAATATATTTATATATTAAGTTTAAAAATAATAAAGCATTAAATTTGGTCTTGAATTATGAAAACAGTTACAAGCCAGTAAGTAATTAAACTTAAAATCCTAATTCTCAAACCTATTATGCTATTCCTATTGAAACTAAATTATTTTCAATATATTCACTAGCAAGACACAAGGTATTGTAGCGATTATGAGTAGCAAACTACTCTGTATTAAATATGTTTCTTTTCGTATGATTTAAATTTATCTTTTTGAATCCCAGCTTGGTTAATATCTTTCCACTCGTGCAATTTATATTTTTATATTAATTTGCTTAGTTTCTTTTACGCTGTTATAAAATTGTTGATAGACCTATACTCTAGCCATATTTCATATTTTCTTAATTCATCACCCTTTAAAATGTAAAAATGTCTAGAGAATCTTGTTAAGTCATATAAAAGTATGTATGTTATTATATTATATTTCTATTAGTGACTTTTATATGGTATTTAAAAAAAATACCGAAAATTAACTGAATCATACCGATACCAAAAGAAACCTATATGACTATGATGGTTTCGAAAAGTCTAATTTTGGTTATATATAATAGAATAACTGAAAAATTGATATGGTACAAATTTTGCAAAATAACCAACCAAATCGAACCATTGACACCCCTACTTGGGGTACGTGATATATTATTTATATTTGTATTTTAATTTTAAAATGTGTATAATTGGTAATGTATGTGGCAAGAACTATAATTTTCTAAAACAGTTTGGTCATGGTTGTTTAACCGTAGGTCACATACTTTTTTGGTATCTACTTTCCTACAGTCTCAAATTATTCATGATTTTTTTTACACGCCCTTTAACAAAAAATTTAAATAATTCTTTTTTAAAAATAATTTATCCGTATTTATATCTTAAAATATAATCTCTATTTATTTAATATTTACTCATAACTAAGATAGTTGTTGTCTTCAAGAACAATTAATATTAAGAATAAAATAAATAAAAAAAAATTAATTTACTTTTGAACTTCTAAAATAACAAATAATTTGAGACAACTATTTTAAAAATCATGACAGATAATTTGAGACAACGGGAATATAAGTACAGTGGGTCGAGTTCGGGATATATAGCTCGGAGAATAAAAATCCGTTTATACATGTATTAATAGCATTGGTATTGCCAATACCATAGTTTACTATGTATTAATTATACATAGAATAATACCAAATAAATTATATAGCTAATACTTACATTAGTAATACGTAAATTAAAAATATATATCAAAAAAAAGATTAATAATACCAAAAGTTTATGCATGCATCATCTTCTCCAATGCATCCTACCAAACTACCTTAGGTTCCCATAAGGCCATCTATTTGTTTATTTGTGTAGTCATTTTGGCCAATATGGTTTTGCATTTACACGCAATAAAGAATGCAGACGAGTGTATACACAATGAAAGTTTTTCTTCATTTAAAAAAATATTTTTGTTGTTTGACCACTAGAGGAGGCTATTCTTGACGGTTATTTTAATTTTTAAGTTCATAGGAGTATTATTTACTCTAAACAACAATTAATATTATTATTAGTATCTAATACTCAAAAATTAATATCTGATTTTCTAATATCATTACTAATCACTAAAATATATACTACTTACTATTTTTACAAGAAATATTTTTCACTGACCAATCAAACAAACAAATAATTTTTAAAAAAAAATATTTCTCATGTAAAATTTGTTTACTAAGGATATCAAACACATCAGTCGGCCACAATCAGAGTGAAAAAATACTAATGATTTCTCGAAATCATAAGCAAAAAGTAAGCAGAAAAAGTTTTAGGTCAATTTCCAAAGGACTTAAGAGGCTCAGATCTGCAAAGAGAAATCGGGCAAAAGAGAGGTGACGACGCCATGGCTGCAAAATCGTCGGCCGGCCGGTGATTTGCCGAGCCAAGATACGGGTCAAATAGTCTCCATACCCGACCCAGTTAGCCCAGAATCCGAATAAATAATCATCACTGCCTCGATTTTACGGATCAAAACGGAGAAACAATGACCAACAAATGCAGAAACAGAGAAATAGAGTTGTTGTTGATGAAAAAACTGAAGAATTGATTATATGCTTTCTATGTTCATCAGTCCAAGGGTTGTTATATATAAATGGAAGAGGAAAAATCATTGGCTAAACAGAGAGGGTCAACCACCCTTTGAAAAAAAATCCCAAACTCTCTGTTTTTGCCTCATTTTTTCTTTCCTTTTCTGGGCTAACTTTTCTTTGCTTGGGAAATCCTTTGGTTTTAACCAAATGATTTTCCACCTTTCACCTTTGGTGTTCTCTTGTTATAAATAGTTGATAAATACACTCTTGATTGGAAGAGTCTAGAACGGGTTAAGTGGTAATTTATCTATAAATTTAAGTTATATTTAAATATTCTTTTATACTATCAGTAAAAATTTAATACTCCTAAGTAATACTAATAAGTGCGTCCTTTGTCCACTTTTAATTGTCAAGTATTTTAAAAATAAATTTTATATTTACTTGTCAATTTTGCATATCAAGATAAAAATAATTTATTTTTTCTGTTTTGCCTTTAGCATATATTACTCATTCCAAATCATTTTCCAAAATCATTAAGACTATACACCAATTAATATAGATATCATGATAAATTATACACTTTATTTATTATTTCTTAATGGGTGTGCAAGGTCACTAGTGGACAAGTAAAAGTGAACGGAGGGAGTAACTATTTTATTAGATTTTTAATTACTTCCTCTGTCTCGATTATATACGAATGTGTTCGGAGGGCCCATAAAATTTTTGAATTGTATTAAAATATACATATATATATATATATATATGTGTGTAATAATAACTTTGAAATAGCTACTCCTATAGTCGGCTTGGTTCGGTTTTTTTTCTGATTAAAATCAAAACCAAATCAAATTTGATCGGTTTTTAAAATTCAAAATCAAACCAAATCAAAAAATATCGGGTCTTTTGATCGATTTGATTTGGTTTTCGATTTGGTTCTATTTTTCGGATTTTTATGAACACCCCATATTATAGACTTCTATCCAATAGTCATAAAAGGTAAGAGAGGGGAATGAAGAAATTTTAATAACTTCATCAAATAACACACCTGATTAATAATTTTTGCAGCAGTAGCAGCGTTCCTCCAAATCTTGCACCATTTTGTTTCTTTTGCTCAACCACCATTGTATCAAAGTATATCTCAGATTTACCTTTGGCAAAAAGGTACACCACATGCATTATTAAAATAATTTCACACATTGCAAGCAATTTAACTATCTCCTAATAAATGATTCCTAGTCTCTACATCAGGTTACACTAGCCTATCTAACAGCTTGTTTGGATGATTGTTATATATTGTATCGTGTTGTATTGTTATCCCAAAATAATATTTGTTTTGATTATTTATTTAAAATTATTTATATTATATGGTTAAATCCATTGTTTCGGAACAACCAAAAGCCCCATTTTTGGAAACAACCGATTTGGTGCAGTAGGATTGTTTCGTATTTTCTTTTCCAATTATATCCTTATTTATTACTCCATAATTTTATTTTATCCTTTATTTTTTATTAACTCCAAATTTTCAACTTATTGACCTACTTTATCTACGTTCATTTTTTCTAGAGTTGGTTCGTGTCGTTCTTTTCATCCAAACCTCTATTCGTTTCTTTATCTCTTTCCATCATATTAGATAAAAAAAAATTGCTAATGATAATTAATTTTTTTCTTCAAGTTTTTGCTCTTATTTCCAAGCGACAGAATTGGTGATAAATTAGTAGAAAGAGGTTTCTTAAATTATTTTTATACGTCATTCTTGATAAATTTTATTTAAAACAATTGAGAGTATTTTAATAAACTTATCAGTTACAGTATAGTACGATACAGTCAAACAAAACAACAAAAATATTATTTAACAACAGCAAATAATATAATTTATCTAACCTTTGTATCCATAAAATAATACATTACAATATAATATAGTACAGTACAATCCATTATAAAACGATGGGTAACAATAATCCAAACATAATGTAAGGTAAAAGTTAAAGGGTACTTGCCACAATAAGTAAAACAAGTGAATGGTCAATGGCTCAAGGATTTGGATTTGAAAAGTTGGAACACGTAATATGCACCACTGTTTTTCAAATTGAATAATTTGTTTAAATTCTGCTATAGTACAAGGATGATTAGAAAAAGAAATTCAAAATTGCTAAGCAAGTGAACAGACTTTGGGCACCTTTTCATTTTTTTAAAAAAAAAAAGTAAACTAGGGACATATAGGAGATATAACAAAAAAGATGAAAACACAGGATTACGATCCAAGCTAGTAGGTCATGTATATTTCTGAATCAAGAAAGATGAAATAACTAAAGAAAGATGTGATCAATTAAACATTTTTTTTATGATCGAGAAATCCTCAAGACCTAGTGGCGCACAGCTCAAAACTGGATGGATAATGAACCCACCTATCTACCTTTCTCCACTTATATGTCAGGTTATTGTCTGTGGCAAGATTCAAACCCATGAGGTATAGGGCTTGGCCTATAGTGACGTCGAAGGCTTGCTTTCCGATGCATAGTTAGCTCGCTTGCTTGCCCATCATAGGTCGTATTAACCCTATAATAAGTCTAAGCCAGTCCAGGTCTTTTAATAATCCCGAACTTCCTCTCCTCCTTTCTTTCTAATGAACTTACTGACCTGTGGCTAACTCATACATCACGTGTTGTATCCTTGCCACTAGACCAAAGCCCTTTCAACATTTTTCATGTAATATCAGCAGTAAGAAATGGAGCTTCAATAATCTTGAAGTTACGAGTAGGGCTTTGGAACCTCATTACTGCAGAACTGATAGAGTCAATCATACACTAAGTTTACGAGGTTCCAACTGAAATTCGCTCATGAAGTGGCTGTTAATTAGTGAGATCTAAGATCCAGTAGATTGAATAAAAAGGGCAAACCCCCTGTATATTAATTATGACTAAATTCATGTCAAAAGTCAAAAAGGAGAACAAAAATCCCCTTTTCAATTCGTGTCACAAAAATAAAAACTTTGGTCAGTTTTGGGTGTTCCCCTTTTTGTCTTACTATTTAGGATTTAGGGGGCCAGCTATAACACTCAAAATACTGCATTTCCATTCTCTGGTAATTGCTATATAGAATAAAATAGCATCTTTTAGATACGAATGGAGTATTTCTACCCAAAACTTTTGAAATGAACTTTAAAAGACTTAATCTTTTGCTTAACTTTTTTCAATTTTTCTTTCACTAGCTGTAGTTCTGAAAACTAAAAGGTAAACAAAACTAGAAATATTGAAGAAAGCTGCGGTCAGATATGTACTCAAGACAGAGAGAGACCCGGGTCTGTTTTCAAGATTGAGGCATGATTGCTTGAAACTCATGGTTTTGATGCTTATTGAAAACACAGACACGAACGGACAATTCAACACCAGCATGGTGCAACACTACAACAAAATGCTTTCTCTTGGAACTTTATAACCTGAAGGCCACATGCTAGATCATAACCCTGCATTGAACCAAGGAAAAGGTTTGTTTTTAAGCAAATTGAGGCTCAAATCTATCTTAGAACAAGGAAAAGAGAAGCCCACCACATCATGGCTGCAAAACAAAGGTTGCATGAGAGAGAGAAACCTTAACACAAACCACATTGAGTTGCCAAACCAACAGGTCTGGTCGTCTCCATGCAAATTGATTAACCCAGAAAAGAAGGTACTTGAAGTATCATCACAGCCCCATTTACGTGTACTCCAAGCAAAAGCTGTTCGAACTCAAAAGTCAAGGGAACACAGAATAACAACATAGAAGATACACACAAAGGCCATCAAAGACAGAGAAAAACACAGTTACAACTCTGCAGGACTAAAATTGATTCTTTTAAATTAAAGCTATATCACATGGAAAAGATTTTTAAAAAATAAATAAACACGAACAACCTCTCTAAAGAAATATACTCATTTTGACACCTATATTGCCTATTCTTTTATTCAACATCTGAAGATTAAAAAAAAATCTGGTGCAATATGTGTATTTGAATAAGAAAATGCAGCTGACACAAAAATGTGAGGCTCAGATCTGCAGAAAAGATCAGGCAAAGAAAAGTTAACCATGCCATGGCTGCAAAAACATCATTTGCCTGCGAAAGAGAAAACAACTTAAATAACTGGCCAATGCCATTTCAGGAAGGGGGAAAAAAGCATGTTGAGGCTGAGTCAGGGCGGAAAGAGAGGTTTAGGCATGGGTTCCTTTGAACAGTAGCTTTGACTCAAACCCTCTACATGTGTTAAAAAGTTTACTAAACAAGTACAAATACTTGATTTTCAACACAGTATATCAAATGAGTTGTAAAATCTTGAACTCGAACCCACAAAGTTCAAATCCTAGATCAGCTTTGCGCTTATATGTGTTATGATAAGGAAAAACAGAAGCTAGCCATGCCATGGCTGCAAAACACCAGTTACACGAGTGAGAAGAGTCTCAATCATAGGCCATACAGGGTTGCCACGCCAAGATATGGAGCGGGTAATCTCCATGCCCGAATTAAATAGCCCAGATACAAAAAAAATTATCATCACTGCCTCTTTTACGAGCTTTCAAAGCCATGAGACAGACTGATGATCTGGAGGTGTGTTTGGGTTTTGCGTACACATAAAGGGTGCAAAAACGCAACGAAACCCAGAAACTGAAGTGTGCTCTCTTTCTTTCTTTCTTTTTTAAATTGGTTTGTTAAACATGGAGAATCATAGACAAAGCAGAGAGGGTCAACCACCCTTGAAAGAAATTCCGTGTTGCCTCATTCTTGCCATTTCTGGGGTAAGGGAATTAGCTTAGATGGAGGATCATAGAGTGAATTCCAATTACTGATAAAAAATTGGGTTTTTTTCTTTTTGACAAGGTAAATTGTATTAATCAAAAGGGAGAAAAAACTCCCGTATACAAGTATATCAAAAAGTAGTGATAAAAAAATTGGATTTATAACCTAAAAGCATTAAAACTTTTAACAAAAAGGCGTGGGTAATAATATTTCCACATCAATATACAACAACAAACCAACAAGTGGGGTCTGGGGGATTTCCATATCAATATGGAAAAGATAATAATTTCTTTAGCAAATTGAGGCTCAGATGTGTTGTAATGTCAAAGACAAAAGAGAGGCCAACCACGCCATGGCTGCAAAACACCGGTTGCATGTGTGTGAGAGAGAAGAGTCTCAATCACATGCCATACCGGGTTGCCACGCCAAGATAAGGGTCGGGTTATCTCCATTCCCGGATTAGTTACCCAGATATTGAAAATCATCACTGCCTCTTTAAAAGATCTGAAGGCTGTGTAGTTGTTGTATAGTCGTGAGAGTATACATTAAAAGGGTGCAAAATGCAAAGAAACCGAAATACTGAAGTGCTATTATATGCCTCTCTTTCTTTTAACGGGTTGTTGGTTTGTTGAAAAAGGGAGGATCATAGGCAAAGCAGAGAGGGGCAACCACCCTGTAAAACATCGCATACTCTCTGCTGCCTCATTCTCGCCATTCCTGGGCTAATCTAATAAACATAGTTCATTCAGATGAGAGCTATTAACCGAAGAGACCTCACAAGTCTGCATTTAAAAGAATATCTCAACTTCAACTTAATATTTGTCCAAACGCCTACTGATGTTCTTCAGCAAATTGAGGCTCAGACGCATATAATGACAAGGCAAGAGAGAAGACAGCGACGACATGGCTGCAACACCGGTTGCATGAGAGAGAGAGAGAGAGAGAGAGAGAGAGAGTTGTTTCCAATCACTGGCCATACCGGGTGCCACGCCAAGATACGGGTCGGGTCATCTCAATGGTCAATAATGAGCCCAAAAATAGAAAGATTCATAAGCATCATCACAGTACATTTCTGTAGTAAAACGCATTATAATGGAACAGTTTCAAGTTTCCATTAACAATGAGACAGCGAGATTAAACTGAAAGAAACATGCAAAGGACCATGAGCAGAAAGACTGAAGATCTGAAGGCTGTTGAATTATCGTGATATACTTGTATATTGGGGAAATTTCACAAATAGTCATCGAGAAAACCAGAAACTGAAGTGCTATGTTTCTCTTTCTTTCTCTTAAGGGCTGTTGGTTAGTTGAGAAGGGGAAGAATCATAGACAAAGCAGAGAGGGGCAACCACCCTTGAAAGAAATCCCATATTCTCTGTTGCCTCATTCTCGCCATTTTCTGGGCTAATCCAACCAGAGAACTTTTAACTGAAAGCCCGTGTAAGTCTGCATTAAGAATCTAACAATTCCTATTTCATCAAAAGGGAAAGTAGTTTTCACTTTTTTTCACCATTGTCCTCTTTCTCCAGGCATATCTAACAGTTATTTCCATCTATTTTTAGATATCTATCTAGAAGTGACACTCATGAGTACATAAGCAGGCTCAGATCTGTCATAAATTCAGGTGAAGGAAAGGGACACCGCAATGGCTGCAAACAAGGATTGCATGCTAGAAAGGAAAGACTCTGCTTACAATATCCTGGTTTACCCCGCCAGATATGAGTCCAGTAGACCCAAACCCAATGAAGTCAAGAAACTTTATCATCACAGCCTACAGATAAGAAACAGCAATATTGCTCATAGTGATTGAGATTTGTGAAAAAGAAAAGATATGGACCAAGAAAGAAGAAGCACATAGTGTGAGAAATATGGCAGATAGTGAATAACCATTAGAGCGCTAGCTAAGCATGAAAGAAGGGGTGCTGCTTTGTCAGTAGCAGAATACAGAGATATCACAGGCATGCTGATGGAAGGCAACACCCTTAGAAACTTTCCATCCATATGCAGCCCCATTCTGTTCTTGAGTTGAGTATTCCAGTTTCTGTTTATGGTGTAGAAATAAGACCAGAGCACCTGTCAACAAAATAGAAAAAAGAAAAAAAAGGATCAGAGAAGATGAAAGGTGCGGCTATGAAGGCAAAATCTCAAATGTCACCTAACAACTAAGTGAGTACATTACCGTTCCTAAGAATTGATTATTTGTTATCATATAGTACTTTTTTAATAAGGTTATTTCTTATCATAGACATTTTAAATATAATCCGGTTATGTCTTATTATTTAATATTATATATTCTTAACATTGAGGATCAGTTCTATGTTATCATCATGTTATCATCAGGCAAAGAAACGAAAGCCATGCCATGGCTGCAAAACAAAGTTTGTTTGCAAGAGAGAAGATTCTCAATCTCAGGCCATATTGGGATGCCAAGTCAAAATATGGATAGGTAGTTTTCGTGCACATTGATTAAGCACAGAAAAGAAAGAAGTAGAAGTATCACCACAAACCCTTTCATATCAAACAAACACTAGAAAGCATCTTTCATGAAAAAATGAGACCCCTCAAACTATGCACACTATAAGAAGCAGAATAACACACAAGATAAAGCTAAATCAAAGTGGGTTTTACACCCAATAACACAGAAAATTTACAAACATAAGGAGGTTGCAGTTAGTTGGTAATGCTATAAGCTTAAAAACCTTGAACAAAGAATTCAGCAGGAAAAATAAAAAGAGATATCATTTGATGAAAAACGTGAATTCCGTCAATGATGTTCCCAGTATACCAGGTTAGAGTTCTACTGTAAGGGACTGTTATATACAGAGGAAACAAATTAGAAATGTTGAGTTTTAACCAGTACAAAACCATATAACACGTGCGAAAAACAGAATCATTCACCAGTAGCCCAGCTGTTTCTTTGTAGACCACAACAAAGTCTACAAAGCCAAACACCGAAACAAGCTTTTTTTTAAGCCCATCCAAAATCCAAACATCCTCTTAAAAAATGCGCTTAAAAGCTACTTAATTCAGCTAAGCCAAACATGCTTTTACTTCAAGTTTGATGCTCAGATCTGTGATAAAATCAGTCAATGTAGAAAATGCAACCACCATCCGGACCTGGTTGCAACCATGCCTCCCGGACGCCCAGCCAGGATACGGGCTGCTCCAATGCCGGACCAACTCTGGACACCTTTCGACATTTCATCACAGCCTCATCCCCCAGAAGATAATGCAAAACGATAACTTTTTTTCAAATTGAGGCTCAGATTTGTGTCATGGAAGGCAAAAGGGAAGCCAACCATGCCATGGCTGCAAAACATTGAACATCAGTTGCATGTGTGAGAGAAGAGTCTCATTCACAGGCCATGCCGGGTTGCCACGCCAAGATACGGGTCAGGTAATCTCCATGCCCGAATTAGTTAGCCCAGAAATAGAAAAGAATCATCATCATCACTGCCTCTTTTAAGATCTGAAAGTAGCATAGTTGTAGTGTGGTATAGTACTCTCTCTCTTTCTTCTTTCTTTTTAAGGGCTGTTGGTTTGTTTAAAAAAGGATAATCATAGGCAAAGCAGAGAGGGGCAACCACCCTTGTAAAAAATCCCGTACTCTCTGTTGCCTCATTCTCGCCGTCTCAATACTAATATAGCAGGTTTTCGAGAAAATGATCAAAATAGTTCTTAGTGTATACAGGTTGGACTACTATTTAGGGAGAAATTCAAAAATAGCCAGATTTACAACTAAACTTTTAATTCACAACAGTTTTCTTCAACACTCCAGTTAAACTTAACTGGGTAACAAATGCAGTAATTGCTCAATTTTGAGGCTCAGATCTGAGAATAAAATCAGGCAACAGAAACAAAGCAACCGCCATGGCTGCAGACCTCTATCAAACAGACCTTCGGGGTTGCCCTGCCAAGATACGGGTCGTTCCAATGCCCAACACAACCCTAGACACCTTTAATCATCACAGCCTCTTCATCCGTCACATTAAATGCTCTTTAGGCAATATGTTCTGCTTATTCCTAAACACCAAAATAAGTGTTTTTCAGAAAACATTTTCCTTCATACCAAACACACCCAATATTTTTCTTCAACAAATTGAGGCTCAGATTTGTTGTTATGATAAGGCAAAAGAGAAGCCAACCACGCCATGGCTGCAACACCAATTGCATGTGAGATGGAAGAGTCTCAACTCTCAATCACAGGCCATACTGACTTGCCACGCCAAGATACGGATTGGGTCATCTCTAAGCCAAATCAGTTAGCCCAGATATAAGAAACATCATCATCACTGCCTCTTTAAGATCTGAAGGTAGCATAGTTGTTGCAGTATAGTTGTATGTATTGGGTTTTGAGTATGCATTTAGGGTGCAAAAATGCAAAGAAACCCAGAAAACTGAAGTGCTATCAACTCTCTTTCTCTTTTTCTATTTTAAGGGCTGTTGGTTTGTTTTAAAAGTTGGAGAATCATAGGCAAAGCAGAGACGGGCAACCACCCTTGTAAAAAAAATCCCATACACTCTGTTGCCTCATTCTCTCCATTTCTGGGCTAATCCAATTCAAATGGAGGGTAATATAGCAGGTTTTCCAGAAAATGATCAAATAGTCCATACAGTACGTAAAAAGCATACACTTCTCTTGAGAAAAATGATCCGTCATCTTTGAGGAGGTTTATGATGGTCCTTTAATATACATAAAAAATCTAACAATTTTGGTCTCCATCCATTTTTAAAAGGGAAAAGGGCCAAATAAACCCCTCAATTTTGAGGCTCAGATCTGTGATAAGATCAGCAGAGACAATGCAACCGCCATGGCTGCATACCTCGGTTGCAACCATGAAGATGCCTTCCGGGTCGCCCCGCCAAGATACGGGTCATTCCAATGCCCGATCCAGCTCTAAACACCTTTTATCATCACAGCTTCATCATCTGTCACAGTAAAAGCCTGCCATGAGGAAGAGGAAAAGGAGGAAAGAACTGAAGAAGCATAAGCAGATTATGGGGTCAGACAGTAAACCCTACACTGTAAAATTGGGATTTTTACAGTTGCAAGTTTAAGGGGCAACCTATGTCCATTTTCAACAATGGTGGTTCATTAGTACAGCAAAACGGAAAAGGAAATCATAGGCAGAAAACAGAGAGAGGGCAACCGCCATTAAAGACTCCCCACCGCCTCATTCTTTCAGTCTAGAGTTCGTGAGAATATCTTTCAACACAAATGTCCATCCTTTCACCATTTTAGTCCAAAATATCAGAGAATTTTAACTTAGAACAAAAACTTCCTTGAAACAAATCTATTCACCTTTATTTAAAAAAGATAAAACTGTTTACTATGTAATCATCTACGTGACGGGAAAAAAGGCACTGTACATATGTAAATTGTAATATAATGACTTCAATCACTATCTTTACAGAAATTTCTAAACAAAAGATTCAGCAAACTAAAATGAAAAGCAAATGTAACTTCACTAAAGGAATTTTATTATATTTTTATTTTTATTGGGGGGGGGGGGTTAATTTTGAGGTTCAAATCTGTGATAAAATCGGGGCAAAGAAGACAAAGCAACCGCCATGGCTGCAAACCTCGGTTGCACTGTAAAAATATCCGGGTCATCCCGCCAAGATACGGGCTGCTCCATTGCCCCGACACGAACTCTAGACAATCTTAATCATCACAGCCTCATCCTCTACAATAGCAATAAGAATAATGGAAATAATAGGCTGAATACATACACGACCCCTTATATATATGTACTTCCGATTATTGTCGAAAGTTCAGATCAAGGCCCAGAACCAAACGACCCCTTAAGAAGAATGTTGGTTTATTGTTACGGTTTTTTTTGGAAAAATGGAAAAGGAAATTACGGGAAGAAAACAGAGAGAGGGCAACCACCATTAGACTCCCCACTGCCTCTCTGCTCCCTCATTCTTTCCGTCTTAGAGTTGAGTGGCAAAATACTCTCTTTCCCAGGTTATTCTAGAATTAACTATTTCTTATCATATACTTCTTTTTTGATAAGGTCACTTCTTATGATACTTTTCATGATATAATTCTGCTTTTTCTTATTATGTCATTTAAGATAACTAAGTTTGTAAATACATTTTTCTAGGCATCAGCCGCATTCCCCAATAGGTTATTCTTTTGCTTTTCATCTATGTTCTTGTGATGCTGTTATTTCTTTCTATGGTTTTATTGATGGTACTGATATATTGTCTCTCTTCGTCTTCTTGAGCCGAGGGTCTATCGGAAACGGCCTCTCTACCCCTCGGGTAGGGTAAGGTCTACGTACACACTACCCTCCCCAGACCCCACTAGTGGGGTTGCACTGCGTCGTCGTCGTTGTAGTTGTTGTTGCAGCCGCATTCCCCAATAGCTTCTAAAGAAGAATCTCAAAGCCAAGGCAACAAAGAACAAGAACCCAATAGATACGAATAACGAATATTTGGATCAGTAAACATAAACAAAGTCACAAACAGAACCACAGGAAACTGAATTTAATTTTTTGCTTGTTCTAGATAAAGGTTGGTAAAGTAGAGCTAGGTAACCACCTCTGATAGAAATTGCCTTCTGTCTTTTACCTCATTCTCTCCTCTCTTTATTTTGATGAAAATTTTGGGTTCTTCTAACATACCTTCAGTCAACACTAGCCTCCCATTACAAGACTAAACAGGTTTTTCTTGGTAATTAATAAGTTACATTTCCAGAAAGTTGATAATACTGTTTAAGACTAACTAGTATACCATCACAAAATCCAACTATTATCACATCGGAAGGATACATCCTTTTGCATATTCAAAATTATATGGAAATAAATATGAAAATGGTAGCTGGCATTTGAAAAAGATAAAAAAAAAAAAAACAAGTGCTTAATCAAGGTCTTACCAGATAAGGAGGGCAACTACAGTGCAAAATCCCAGATTTTCACTCTAATGCTTCATTCATGAGCTGTCACTGGAAAAAAATTGGCGACGCATTAAGAGTGCAAAAACATTACAAATTGTAATCAGAAGGGTGTGAGTTCTATATCTCCCAGATCGAAAAGATAATATTGTCTCTAGCAAATTGAGGCCCAGATGTGTCATGATAAGGGGAGCCTTGGACAACCTGTAAAGTTGTCTTTGTGTAACCTATAGGTCACGGGTTCGAGATGTGGAAGTAGCAACTAATGCTTGCATTAGGATAGGCTATCTACATCACACACATTGGGGTCGGCCCTTCCCCGCATCCTGCGTGAATGCAGGATGCTTTGTGCACTGAGTTGTCCCTTTTATGTGTAACGATAAGGCAAAATAGAAGCCACAACCACGCCATGACTGCAAAACACCGGTTGCATGTCAGAGAGAAGAGTCTCAACCACAAGCCATACCGAGTGCCATGCCAAGATACGGGTCGGGTAATCTCTATGCCCCAATTAGTTTAGCCCAAATATAGTAAAAATAATTATCATCACTGCATCTTTACACTCTGTTTGGATCATTGTTCCCCATCGTTTTATAATGTATTGTTGTGTTGTATCGTATTTTACCGTACCGTTTAATGAATACAATGTTTGGATAGATTGTATTGTTTGTTAGTGTTAAATAATATTTTGTTGTTTGGTTTGACTGTATTGTACTGTAACTGATAAGTTTACTAAAATACTCTCGGTTGTTTAAATATTAAATTTATCAAAAATTATGTATAAAAATAATTTTGAAAAACAAAATAGAAGAAGGCAAAACACCTTAAGAAAACAGAACAAAGGAGCGAGATAGAAGAAGGCAAAACAAAGGAGCACAACTAATTAGAATTGAGTTAAAAGCAAATTAGGAGAAAAAATAAAACAGAAGGCGGCAAAACACCTTTAGCATTGGTCTGGAAAAAAATAAAGTAGGTTATAAGTTGGAGATTTGGAGTTAAAATAGAAAAAAAGATAAAGGGTAAAATAGAATTGTGGAGTAATAAGTTAGGGCATCATTGGAAAGAAAAATAGGAATCAATCCCACCACAACAAATCGATTGTTTCAAAAAATGGGACTTTTCATTGTTCAGGAACAATGGATTTAACAATACAATACAACCAATTTTAATGAAACAATCAAAACAAACATTGTTTTGGGATAACAAAACAATACGACAATGAGGAACAACCATCCAAACAAGTTGTTAGTATAGTTGATGGTATTGGGTTTTGAGTATATGTTAGGGAATGCAAAAATGCAAAGAAACCCAAAAATTAAAGTGTTAATCATCTCTCTTTCTCTCTTGCTTTTTTAAGGGCTGTTGGTTTGTTAAAAGAAATGGTAAATCATAGGGGAAACAGAGAGGGATAACCACCCTTTAAAGAAAATCCCATACTATCTCTGTTGCCTCATTCTCACCATTTCTGGGCTAATCTAATACATAATATAATACAGCAGGTTTTCGGGAAAATGATCAAATAGTATGTAAAAGTGTACACTTTTCAGGAGAAAATTACAAAAATGATTCCTTATCTTTGAGGGAGGGGATTAGGGCGTAACAGGTAAAGTTGTTGTCATATGACCTAGATGTCACGAGTTCGAAGCTCTTGCAGAAATGCAGGATAAGGCTGCATACAATAGACCTTTGTAGTCCAGACCCGAGCTTAGTGCATCGGGCTGCCCGATCCCTTATCTTTGAGGGTAGATTTATGATGGTCGTTTGCAAAAACTTTACAATTTCGGTCTCCATCCATTTCTGAAAGGGCAAAGGCCAAATATAACCTTCAATTTTAAGGCTCAGATCTGTGTTAAATCAGCAGAGACAATGCAACCGCCATGTCTGCGGACCTCGGTTGCAACCATAGATATGTCTTCCGAGACGCCCCGCCAAGATATGGACCTTTTAAATAGTGCTTTTCAGCACTCGGAAAGCTACTTCAAATTCAGCTAAGCCAAACAAGCTCACTTTAAATTTTGAGGCTCAGACCAGTGATAAAAATCAGTCAATGGAGAAAATGCAACCGCCATGGCTGCAGACCCGGTTGCAACCACGAAGATGACTTCCGGGTTGCCCAGCCAAGATACGGGTCGCTCCATTTACCCGATCCAACTCTAGACACCTTTAATCATCACAGCCTCATCATCCGTCAGATTAAAAGCTAGCCATAGGAAAAGGGAGGAAAAGAAGTGAAGAAGCAGAAGCAGATTATGGGTTTAGATAGTAAACCCTAAACTGTAAAATTGGGAAGTTTAAGGGACAATCTATGACCATTTTCTAACAATGGTGGTTTATTAGTACAGCAAAATGGAAAAGGAAATCATAGGGAACAGAGAGAGGGCAACCACCATTAGAGACTCCCAACTACCTCTCTGCTTCCTCGTTCTTTCCGTCCAGAGTTGAGTGCCAAAATACTCTCTTTCCCAGCTTAAATTTTACTCCAGTAGCCTGTTGTATCCTGATTATAGGGTTGCTCCCCATTTCCAATCGAGTATGTGAGTTGGAGTGTCGGAAGAGCAAAGGTGGGAAGTTGTTGAAAAGGAGTGTGCGAAGAGCAAGGTGGGTTGTTGAAAAGGATGCCGCCTTCCTATTTGTAAACGGTCTCTACACCTAAATAAGGTGGGTTGTCGTTGTTGTAGCCTGTTGTATCCTCCGTTCACTAGAATGCTAGTAGGGCAATTTAGTCTTTCTACACTCAATCTTATTACTCGAAAGATTTGGGCCTTTTGAGCTTTTTTTGTTGTTTAAGCCCCGCTTGGCCATAAGAATTTTTTCGCTTGTTTTGCAAAACTTTTAAGCCCGATTGGACATAAGGATTTTTTTCCTTTTTTCCAAAAATATGTTCATTTTTCTTTTGGAAATCAGATTTGTTTATAAAATTTTCACTTGAAGAATTTTGGAAAAAACTTCAAAAAGTTATTTTTCAAAATTTTCAATTCAAATCACTCACAAAACTTCAAAAATAACCCAAAATTATATTCATGTCCAAACACAACTCTAAATTTCATATACTATTTTCACTTAATAGAGTTGAGATTTCGTTCTTAAATTGTGAAATTGATACAAAATCAACTAATGTCTATGGAGATTGTGAATGTTGGAACTACCGTTCCAACTTTGATTCCGATTTTACTTCAACACAGTGGTGAATGGGTAAGTGAGAGTAAATTTGTTAATTTCCTTGCTAATGGCGTGTTGATCAATTCGGACTGTAGCTATGATTATTTTGTTGATGAGATATACAAGCAATTGGGTAGAGATTCAATTACGAGTGCAATGGAGATAAAATATACAGTGAAGGATGGCTATATAGCAATTCCAATATACAATGATATGAGTGTGCGCTTGTATATGGAGATGAAAAGGAAAAAACTGGATATCACTGAATATCCATTATGCATAACATTGAAAACTGTGTATTTAAGTACTAAATGCTCATATTCAAGTTCATACTTGGGTGGCAACTTACTCGCAACAATTTCAGTTGGCTTACAATATCAGAACGTAGAAGAAGTACATGGAACTAATATTTGTTGAGATGATGGATAGTCATGTAAAGGAAGACAAACTTGAGATATTGAAGGGAAGTTGTATAATAAACAATCCACAACATGAAGAAATTGCAGAATGTCAGTCGTATTGGGACAAAGATACACTACGCAATACGAAAAAAATGTCAATTTATAGTGAATAGATCATCTACAACAAGTTATGATTTCTACTTATGAGATTGCACTTCTCTGTAATTTCTTTTATACAGATCTGTATAAAAAATGTATAATTAATGTATAGTGGAGTTGCACTTCTCTGTAATTTTTTGTATATAGATCTGTATAAAAAAATGTATAATTATTGTATAGTAAGATTGCACTTCTCTGTAATTTTTTATATATAGATCTGTATAAAAAATGTGTAATTATTGTATAGTGAGATTGCATATGTATACTGCTTGTTTATTTGAGACACAAGTGTAAAAATCTGAAGAAATGCATTATCATAACACTATATTTTAAATAGGTATTGTCTTACATGCGTGGATAAAAGTTGCAAATGGAATCTTAGATCTCAAGTCTACACAAATCAAATGTCTTCAAGGTTAGATGGTTCAATGATGTTCACACTTGCCTAAAGATGAGTAGACTGTTTTCACAACGTCATGCTACTTCGTCAGCCATCGCAAAAATGATTTGTGACAAATATACCAATCCAAAAACAATATACACTCCGGCAGACATCATGAGCGACATGAAACGACAATATGGGATTAATATGAGTTATGTAAAAGCTTATAGAATAAAAGAAAAGATGCTTGAACTACTAAGAGGGATACCACGCGAATCTTATAGAAAACTGTCGGGTTACTTGTATATGATAAATATGACAAATCCTGGTTCTATCACAAGATTACATAAATCAGAGGACGGGCCCTTCATGCATGTTTTTGTCGCACTAAATGCATCAATCATAGGATGGAAATACTGTTACCCTATTGTAGTGGTTGATGGGACATTCCTCAAATCATCACACAGAGGAACAATGTTAATAGCTAGTGCACAAGATGCGACAGGTGAATATGTTGAAGACTCGTATAATAATTATATATGGTATAGATAGTTTTTATCTGTGTATAACAAAAATAACATGTGTAAGCACGTGATTTTTGCCTTATGAAAGAATTACTCCCAAAAAATTCAAAAATAAAATAATTTTTCCTTGGTGTGCAATTTTTTATTTTTGTGGTATTTTTGTATAATTATTTGTATTTTTGTCTGTGCATGTTTATTTGT